TATCCAAATGGTAATGGGTCGTTCCTGCTAGGAGGAAGGGCGAAGATTTCAGTCCAAAAGTGACGCGGGTAAAACGAAGTGTCCAAGTATTGTTTTCGATGAGGGCTTCACGTGATTTTTGAGCCATAAGCAGCGCATAGCGTTCCTCGCCCCTTCTCGTGCAAACGCACTTGCAGGAGTGCCTTTTCTACTTCCGAAATTAGAGCTACTTTGCTGACTCGACCTCAACGTAAGACGTCATTTCGGGACGAGTTTCCCTTGTATGGCGGAAGTATCAAAAACAATACGCATTTTTGTTGTAATTTTGTGCGGGGTCAGGACGGGCTGGTGAGAGATGTAATGAACCGTGGCCCCTTCGGTCGTTGTCGTTCACTCGCTCCATGATTCCTTTATTGAGTTGTTCTTGGAACACGTCATTGTATTGATCCAGTAACTGTTCGTCTTTCCTCAATGATGTCCAAACATTGACCAAGCGTTTGTAAGCCAAAGCGCGGTTATCAGGCAGACGGGGATTTTGTTCCTTCCACGTGCATGATATCCGTCTTGTCTTTTTCGACCGACTCTTCAAATTTTTTCTGGACCACTTTATCCAGCTCAGTAGCGCTTCCTTCTCGGGTCCAAGGAACTCTTCCGTTCCGGCAGAATCCATTGTCCAATATTGATCCCATTGCTCTCTTTCTTCTTGTGTAACCTCCGTGCCACTCTCCACTACTGTATATACCTGAGCGGAGTTCATTGTCCAATATTGCTCCCATTTTTCAACTTCGTTGTCCTTATATTGCGCGATCTGGAGAACCCTATTATCTCCTGCCTTTGGTTTGCCACAGACCAGGTAACCTAATTTTGTGGGAAGGATGTGAAATCAAAAACGCAATGGAAGCCGTGGAGTATCATTACGCACGAACGACTGGAGCCAAACGCATTCTAAGAGTATAGATGGTTAATGAGTTGTTTCCCATACCGTAAATTTATTGGCAAATCGAGATTTCGGAGGAATTCCTAATCGTGAGCAGAAGGGATGGATGCGCAAATGGTTGGGTCAAGGTATCTTATTTAAGCAGCTCTAAACGGTTAGGTTTCGTTCTCGGTCCCATACAACCACATGTATCCTTTGACATTTCCGTTCTACTACTTCCTTTGTGCCAAAGATGTTAGTCTGATCTGCTTCCCACCTAGTATATGTAGATGAAGCTTTTCTGCTGAGCTGCTGTCTAGAAATGAAATCTCGGCTCTGGTATCGAGAAGAACGTCCACTTCAACAAGGATTTTTTGTGGGGGGTCCATCATTGTTATCTCACCCGAGGGCAGAGTCAACCCTGCGTTGCGCAGTTCGCAACGGCACGTTGAGAGATCCTCAACGCACGCTGTATGGGCGGAGACGCAGACGGCTCGAGCATGCGAGTGTGAATGTTCGCGCGAGAGAACGTGTCTAATCGGGCGAAACTGCGCAACGTGGCCGTTGAGAACTGCGCAACGCAGGGTTGACTCTGCCTGAGGGTAAGCAGGAGTAATGAGAGTGCTGCGCATTCAGCACCATCTGTGCCGGAAGAAGTGGCGCTTCCTGTCCAGTATTGTACGTGTCTTGGGTAATAATTGCATTGCCGAGCACTGCGCTGCGACCATTTTGAAACTCTCTTCCTTTCTGATGTTCCACTCTTGTTTCTTGATGAGGTCCGCTTTTGAGAGAGTGACCCTGATATCTGCAGTCAAACCGTATGATGTGGGATTTGGCCCATTACATGGAAAAAAGACGACCTTTGCACTGGGTAGAAACATGACCTGGTGACGCGCATATGAGGCACAACTTATCGTACCGTAAATAGGATAATCTCTCTGAGGTGTCATACTCTTGGTGCACTGGTAAGGTGAGTGATCCCCTTTAGGGTACATACACCTGGCCGTTATTGACATATTGGGCCTTTCCATAGAAGGTTTCGTTCCTTTGGTGGAGATGGGTTTTCCGCAGATACTTGAAACATCTCTTCTGCGTATAGGGTGTCATCTATTATCTAGAAGAGATGAGCCATAATGAACAATGTCACGGCAATCCTTGCCTGCTAGAGATAACTTTCTATTTAGTAAAATCCGGAAACTCAATACCCTTTTGACTAGCTATGAGCTATTCACGTCCTCACCCTTGTCCCAATTGGATGATGATGGCTTGAAGTTGCTCCAGTAGAGAGCGTTGATCCTTTATTGATGGAGTACGCAACTCGCGCGATTCCAATTACTGGTTTACTAGCGTTTCCTTGTTATTGTACTTCTTGAGAAGGCACGCTATCGCTTTCGAGTAATTGTCACTAGAAACCCTGAATTTCATAATGGATTCTCGGCCTCTCCCTTGAGAGCGTCTAGTAAATAGTTGTATTAGTCAATAGTAATGTATGGCAGTCACCAACATGGAGAAGTGGTGGACCGTGGTCAATCCGCGCGCTTGTCTCGCTCAGAGGAGGGAATCGAGGCAAATGAAGTTTTATTCATTAAATAGAAGGAATTTCCAAATTTTTGCGTAAACCAATACATCATTTTAATCACAAAGATTTCTACTTTCAGAAACCTACCAAGTTTTTTTCGATCTCTCAATTTTCCTTATTTTATAATCTGAAAAACTAAACCTTGTAGCAATTACGTTGCAATCCAAACCCCTCCATTCAGAAGGTTATATTTTCTTTCAGAAGCGGTCTCATGGAACCGGACACCAAAATTTTAAAAATACAAATAGTTTTCTTCCTAAAAAGTATTTGAAATGTTGTGGATGTTCAATATTTCAAAAAATCGTCCCGTTGTTCCGTTTTTTGTGCACACGCGAGTTTTCGACATTCAAACATTCATAACTTTCTTCATAATCAACTTTTTGCAGATGTCTAAGGCTAATTAGAAACTAGAAGATTAGAGCTTTCGAACAAGCACCTGAAAATTTTCCAGCGATCATTTTTTCAAAAAATAGTCCCGTTGTTCCGTTTTCTACATTCAAACGTTAGTAACTTTTTGCAGATGTCTAAGGCTAATTAGAAACTAGAAGATTAGAGCTTTCGAATAAGTGCTAAAACTTTTTGAAATAATCACTCGCTCAAAAAATAGTCCCGTTGTTCCGTTTTTTCCACCTTGATTTTTTTTTCAAGCCATTTTCCTGGACCGCGACTATGCAGTCTTCAAAGGCCCATAACTTCCTTCAAAATGAGAAGTGTGATGAGTGTTAGTGTGATGAGAAGCGGTAAAGATTGTTGGAATCCACTCGAAGAGTACTTCATAACAGTGTGAAATTTTCCTGAAATTCTTTCTTCTGCCTCAATTTTCCTAAGGGGTCTCTAGAACTCAATTCAGCAAATTCGCTACACTTTGTTCCGCTTAGATTTTATTTGAAAGCATCGAAATTCTCTTCAGAAAGTTTGTCTGCTTACGGCCGCTGACAGAGAAGGCGTTTTTATGGGAAAACGCCTGCTCGGGTATACGCCGTGCACCTGTCTGTGGGCAGAAGTCGCACTCGCATTTGAAAGTCCTCCATTTTCCTGAAGAAGGTGTTAGTATCGTGATTGAGTTGCATTGTACTGTTATATGGTACTCTTGTTTCACTTTCCCATGAACTGCTCTACACTTTGTTCTCCTTGGGATTTCAGGAATGTTCGAAGACAGACCATGTTTTTGCACTACACTGTAACAAAGTTTTTGGCTATTGTACTCTTGATCTATGCCGCGGAGCAAAAGCGCCGTCCGGATAGCGTCGATTAAGGATAATAAGCTGATGGTGAGACTTATAGTGCTCTGCATGCTCCCATGGAGCTCATGTCTGTGTGACTCTCCGACAGCGTGCAGAGCTCCTGGAGAACATTAGAGACTGAGAGTGGTGGATACGACCCCCTTCCTTTTTGGTCCGCTGAATACGGCCCCCTCGTTCTTCTTTGTGCAACGGGCGGTTGACCCTGTTTATGAGGCGACATAATCTTCATCTCTGAGACTAGTGGTTTCAGATCACTACCTTACGACAAGAACTAGTAAAGAAAGGAAAAAAATTACACGTGTCTTGCCTCCTGAGATGGGGAATGAGAAAACAGTTACTCGTGGAAATAAGCGTCGTGAATTCCACAAATATGGACGTGAGGGAAAGTAATCACCTGTTCCCTCTATTGAGGTCACTTGAAGCCTCTATGACCTCCACACTTGGAGGAAGCGTTACGATGAGGAAAGGGGAAGAACCTGCGCCACAAGGAGCAATTACTTGGCTGCCAAGGAAGCGATGTGTGGCGCTTCCACGGCGAAAGGTGCTGTGGTTGCTGAGCAGGACCTCCGCAGCACTCCGCCTCCAGCAGCGTTACGCCCACTTGTTCAGATGATGTCTTTTCATTTTGGAGATCGTTTCCCTTTCATCGGCTGTATCTTCCAACTTGCCCATGTAATGCCTTATCAATCAAAACACTATGCTTGTTGGCATGATGGCGGCTATCGGGGTTAACACGTCCGAACAACGTCATTCTTTACCGTCGCTCATCCATGGTCGAAAATGAAAGGGCAATCAAAGGGGTACTATTTTGCTTATTTTTGACGGATTTCTTTGCTTTTTTCGCCACTGGTTACTCTACTGCGTTGAAAAGTTTTTCTACAATCTTACTTCCCATAGCTGAATTCAATTCTCGCTTACCGAGCGTCACCAAACATAATGGTGTCCGCCGTGCCGCCTTCCATGTGCTTCCTTGGTTCCACCCTAAGGCCCGTGAACCGTTCAAGAAGTTTTTTCGAAAGCTTGTCCTCTGTCTCGGAAACTGAGTTTCTATGCATGAAACTTTACTCATTGCAACCAATGGCCACAACGCATACATGACGCATACATGTGAGCAGGGAACAAAACAAGTCCCGCGCACATTTTTGACTGAAACTTTAGGAAGGGCGAAGATCAGACACAAGCTATTAAGCCAGAACTGGTTTATTAAAGCTTAAATAAAAGGAAATGGCACTTGCGATTGAAAATGAAAGAGTTAGCTCATCGTATTTGCGTCCAGAGAGAGCTAGAGAGCGTGTAGAGTAGAGCTCAAGTTGAAGAGGTTATCTTGTTGAATGGTTTGTCGGATGGCGACGCTTTCTAGAAGAGATAACTCAAACTTGCATTGCCACTTGTTAAAAGAGTCTTTTTTCACCGTACGTTTCAGTGGACTACCTGGTAATGTTTCTTGCACATGTTCTTCCACCACGGCTGTTTCTGGCTCAACTTGCACTGTATTACTCAACACACTCGTGAGGGACGCTCCTAGAATACTCTTTCTATATTCCCAAATTTAAGTTCACTTTGCTCTTGAAGTGCCTCTAGAATTTATATTGATGCATTGTCGCTTGTTATAACGCATTGTAGCAGTTGTTGCCCATTCACAGTCGATGTCTTTTAAAGACAAAATGAAACTTCAGATTCCTGGGAACTTGCTCCGTTTAATTCTGAAGCTGAGCCAACAAAAATCATAATAGTGCGCGAAAACGTAGGGCACGCGCCCTGCTGGCGCATGAGCATTCGTGCGGGAAAAATGACTGAACTTAATGACCGAAATGACTGAATCAAACAATGACAACAAAAGCAGAGGAACAATGCAAGGGAAACGATCCCGACAGCTCCAGCGAGCCAAGGTCACTACTACTTATCTATACGGCCTCACAAAAACTCCCTTTGAAGTCTCATTTAGCAGATTTCTAAGGTAGATTTGAGACAGCGTCCAAAGCTATCTGGTGGTGTCCATCTACTCTTGAATGGTAGTGGCGACCTAGTTCCAGTTCCTCCCAGCTCGATGGGTCGTACTGATGAGTGTCATGACACGCTTACCTTCTGAAAATATAACAGGTCCTGGTCCCATTTCCAGCCCATCTGGACTGCTACTGTTTTGTCCTAGAATGCATCAGCTAGCAATGGCAGAATCGAACAGTTCATGGGCATGTACTGAGCATCTTGATGGGTCGTACCGATGAATCTCGTGACATGCTTACCTTCTGGAATTATGACAGGTCCTGGTCCCATTTGCAGGCCACCTGGACTTGCCACTTACTTTGTCCTAGAATGCATCAGCTAGCAATGGCAGAATCGAACAGTTCATGGGCATGTACTGAGCATCTT